TCGTCGCAGTCCATGAGCTTGTGAAAGGATTCTTTCAAATGAAAAATTAAGTATTCCTTTCTCTCTTTCGGAGGAAAAATTCCCAGAGAAGCGCCGTGAAATTTGAAATTTATTCGCTCAAAGTTACCGTCAACGTTGTCGCGGAGTGAGGAAATTTTGAGGCTGAGATGAAGAATGATAATTGGAATGCATTTTTAAAAAAGAAACGAAGTGCATTCCAATGTTGCCAGGATTGTGTAACTTACTTTTTTTGCAACAAAATTACTGAAGTCGTGCATAAAACGAAATTTACAAAGGTCATTTTCGTCTTGAATGTACAGTTAATTCGGAGTAAAGATAAAACCTGTTTAGGTGACAGTTTATATTTGCCAGGTAAAAATGTTGCACCATCTTAACGACACTGGAATGCTCTCGGTTCCTTTTTCCAAAATGCAATCCAATTTATGGTCCGAAAAACTTTCTACACCCCCTATTTTATCCCCTCCCTCTCTTGACTTTTTTTTTTTTTTTGCGGAGCTAGGCACTTTTCGAAAAGATAGATTAATTTATGTACGGCCCCTCAGATTCACCGTATCGCTCTTGCCCTTTCAAAGAGCGGCGAAGCTCAAACGAACCAATCAGATTTTGATCATCCAATCCAGCGTCGATAAATCGAGCGGAATACCCACCGATCCGAGTAAATGACTCCTCTCGAATCGCTTTTCGAACAATGAACTCGTTGCACTTTTGTCGCGATTTCGCCGGTATCCCTTTGAGGACGGCGGGCCGCGGGCCACCGGCGGCCGATGTTTGATGCCCGGTGATCGGTGCAAGTCGTCGTGTCGGCCGGCCGGCGCCGCGCCGGGTCGGTGTGCGCCGGCCTCGGCCCATTCACGAGTCTATGGCGATCTGGGGGAAGGGGTGCGGTGGGGGTTGCGGCGATCGCGTATCATATCGGGAGTCGTTACACATGTCTAATGAAAAGGGCCCAATTAAAGCGTGTCCGAGGCCCGACCGAGTCGAAGCGGCGCGGAGCCGACGACGGTTTGGTCCTCCGTTGCCGGATCCCATCGGAAACCAGCCAACTGATTATTGAAATCGATGGACAAAGCTATAGGCAAAGAAGACGTAGGGAGTATAAAGTGATCCTATTGGTTGAAATGAGTGGTTCCGATAGACAGAGGGAGAAAATGATAGACTAACTCTCGGGTCTCTCGTGGGTTGCCGTTAGTTAGTCTATTACCTACCTCCTTTGTCCATCGCAACCACCCGCTTTGCAGTATAACAATAGAAATGGTCGCACCAAATTTAAAAGTCTCGCTCCTTCCTCTTGGCTGAGGTGACGTCACTTCCGCCAACCGGTGGAGGCGTCGGTGACGTCGGCTTCTGAGAGGGAGGCGGCCATTGATAGTCAGTCGGTTGAAGTTCAAGCGCGTCGCAAGAGGAAGTCCGCGTCCTCTTCCAAAAATGTAAGTCCCTTTCTGAAAGCTTCGGCCTTCGGCCGAGGTCCGGTTTTTTTCTTATCCCTTTTTGTACTTCATGAAGTGAAGTTGTGTGAAGTTGCAGTATCCAGCAGGCCCACATAATCTAAATGATGTGTTCTCAGTGCTTCCCCACTTCCACCTTGCTCGGCTCCGTGTAGCTGCTTCTCTTCTTTTTTTTCTTTTTTTTTCTGTTGTTTTATGGCTTTGTGAGCTTCTCTTCTTCCTTCTTTTGTTTTCTCTTCTTGTACTCTGGTCACGGGACGCAGCCCGTAACACGTCAGCTTCCACCAATAGGATCTCTCCATATCTCTTTTGTCTCCTTTGTCTATAGCTTTGTCTATCAATTTCAATAATCGGCCCGCTGTTCCTGAAGAATTTCATTTGGGTGCCCAAACTCAGGGAAAAACGGAAATCTTTCCAGGGGTGCAGAAAATGCCCGATCACGCGTCCGGGAAAATGTAGAGAAGCCTCGAAAATGTGGAAGGGGGGAGGGACATTTTGAGGGGTTGAGAAGCGAAAATCAAAGAAAAACCGAAGAAAAACGTAATTTTTTTTTAAATTCGTGGGAAATTTTGCGGGAAACTGATGAGACAAATCGTCGTTCCTCTGACGTAAGGGCGTATCTCTATTTTCGCATGAGCCCCGAAACGCATGGAGTCATATGGACAAAGGGGCTCAAGTGGAAATCGAGGTACGCCCTTACGTCAGAGGAATGACGAAATGTGGAAAGCCGGCTGGCAGGCACGTAAAAATGTGGAAGCTTGAAAGATTCTGCACCCCCGAATTTTTCGTCGAAAATCTGGAGAGTCAGGGAATTTTTCTCGAAGATGTAGACGGAGTTTTCTGAGGAAATCTCTCAAGTTGCAGTTTTCACGCGTGCCTCAGTCAATGATAAAATTTCAACACAACGTGTCAACGTCATGCGTGTCTGACTGAGACTGGTGAGGAGTCGTATAGTCGCTTGGCAGACATAAGGGCGTAACCACACTTACGCATGAGCCCGCGAAAGCACTGATTTATATGGATGACAGGGCTCATCGCGAAGTGTAGTTACGTCCTTATGTCAGGACGCCTAAATGCATTATCCCGATCCAGCGTCTGGTGCTGCGGTCCTTGCTCCGCGGGACCCGATTGCTTTCAGTTTTCGTCGGCTGATGGGCACCTTTTTCTGTCTCCGGGGAAAGCCCTCCTCCCCTTAAAGTTCTCTCTCCGACGCCGTAAGCAGGCATCTCGGAAATACAATGAACGTCGACAATGCTCCCGCTTCGTTTAACCACTTTTGACCGGCCGTACTTACAATGAAATAGCTGATTCTTTGCCGTGTGACTGATCTTCAGAAATAATGGGGAGGGGAGAGAGACTGTGATCAGTGATTATACAGGTGAAGATGGGAGGATCTGTCTCCCCCCCCCCCCCCCCTCGAGTACCTTTATATAGAGAGTAAGGGCTTCGGGGTTCCATGGAGAGCCTTAGGATCAGGAAAATGGCGACAACCCTGGTTGGGAGCGAGTTTTGGTTTTCGTCAAGTTTAGAAGGTTTTCTCTCACTGTTCTCGTCACCAACCTAGCTATTGAGAAAATAATCATGCATAAAATTCGTGTCAAAACTGACAGTGTCGCGTAATGACCGTCATTCTCTTTCATTCGGGAGATAACGGTGATGCCGTTTGGGAGAAAACTTGTTGAAAACCACGGGGTGGTTGATACTGTGCTTTGGATACTGAAGAGTCGCGAGGGACCTTGGACCCTCTAGTAACCGTACCCCCCTCCCCTCCCCCACCTACGAAGGTACTTTACTTCTTGGTAGAGCTTGCCACTATACTTATATCTCCACAAGGTGGAGAAATGATGCTTTTCGCGGGGAAAACAAAGTCCAGAAGTTAAAAAAATTATAATTGGAGTCTAAAATAAATTTGTTTAACTCTAATAAGTACCAGTAAAAATTTATATTGAAATGTAACAAAAAAAATGTAAGTAAGTAAAAAAAAATTGACTCTAATTATAATTTTTGGAACTTCTTGGTTTGTTTTCCTCGCGAAATGGCGTGGACCCAGCACCATTTCTCCACCTTGTTACGTACAGTTCGGGCTACTTCTTGTTTTTTCTCACTTATGTCGTTACTTGCCATAGAGTGGGACTTTCCGGATCTTTTCCTCCATTTCCATAGAGTACATAGAGTCGTAATGTAAGTGGGAGAGCTAGCGCCACTTTTAAGCAATTTCCATGTCCCGAATTCCGCGACTCCTGCGCGGCGCCGGGTCACTCTTTCGATACATAATCGATTTTTTGCGATACACGGGGACCCGGCCATAGAATTACTACGTATTCCACACCGCCATTTTGAATCGAATATGTATCGAATAAGTGTGACCCGCACACCGAGCTCGGAACTCGTCGAGCAGAAGATGGCGCCAGCTCTCCCATTTACATGACGACTCCATGTACTCTACATATCGACGGCGTAAGTCGGCAATCACATAACTCGTTTGCGGTGTCTTGAATTTCTCCGCCTCTATGTCATTTTTTAAAGGAGAACCAATTGACATCATTCCTTGAAGTTTTTGTAGAATTTTCTTGGCACAGAGAAAAAAAATCACGGCAGCTTTAAAGAAGTTCCGTTGAGTAGTTTCCCGTTTAAAAAATAAAGTATGACAGGAAGTCTGCGACGTCGCAAAGCGAGTTACGTGATTGCCGACTTGCACCGTCGATGTGTCCATTCCCTATGTGGATTGCATTTTGCAAAAAGGAACCTCTAGCATTGCAATGTTGCTAAGATTGTGCAACTTCTTTTGTCTTGGAGGAAAAACCCGATTATCCCCTAATAGTTTCTATTTCACTCGCTAAAAACTGTAAATTTAAGACAAAAATTACCATCTAAATTTCATAGTTTTTCACAATTTCCGCAATTTTATTGCAAAGAATGAAGTTGCACAATCTTAGCATCATTGCAATGCTAGTGGTTCCTTTTTGCAAAATGCAATCCGTGTGTCCATTCCCCAAGTGGATTACATTTTGCAATAAGGAACAACTATTTCTGGCCCATTTTAGAAACAACATATGTGCCGTTGGTTTCCCTCATAGAGTACATAGAGTCGTAATGTAAGTGGGAGAGCTGGCGCCACTTTTAAGCATTTTCCAAGTCCCGAATTCCGAGACTCCAGTGTGACGCCGGGTCACTTTTTCGATACATAATCGATTGTTTGCGATACACGGGTACCCGGCCATCCGATGACAACAACAACAACAACAAAGGAGATAGGAATTACCACGTATTCCACGCCGCCATTTTGGATCGAAAATGTATCGAAAAAGCGACCCGAACTCGGCGCACACCGTGCTCGGAATTCGTCGAGCAGAACATGGCGCCAGCTCTCCCATTTACATTACGACTCTATGTACTCTATGGTTTCCCCTTGCAGATGTATGCTTCAATGGAAGAGCCAGAGATAGTGGTTCCTTATTGCAAAATGTAATCCAAATGTTGTATTCCGTAGCTGTATGAGGTGACTAACGAGCCCGGATTTTGCCTATGTTGCAGGTCGTGAGGAGTGCGCGTGTGGAGTTAAGTGCGTGGATGCGAGTGGTGTCGGGGCGATAGGGCGTCCAGGTTCGGCGGTGGCGGCGCGTTGCCCGGAGCCGCGGGAGCTTTTCGGGAGTCGGGGGGCGGGCGGCGCGGGCGGGGACGGGGGCGCGGCGGCGGCGGGGCCGGGATGGGACGAGGAGTGAGGCCATGATGGACGCGGAGAGGCAGGACGGCCACGGCGGGAGTGCGACTAGTGCGACGAGCGCCCAGGCCGCGCCCAACGGCCCCACGTACAAGATCATCAGGGCCCCCGGACTCAGGAGAGGTCAGAGCCACACCAACCTCGCCGAAAAGGTAAGCTAATTAGTCCACCTTCCATTTCTCCTGTAGCCTAGTGAACCAATGTTGAAACCCAACGTATCCATCCTCGGATGAACCCTGGATAATGCATGAATTCCTGTGGACGGCAGGGTTCGTCAAACTGTGGACTTGTTTGGTTTTAGCTGATTAGTCCAGCTTCCAGTTCTGCCGTGTTAAGGAAAAACGCCGTATGAACCTTCAGGCATTGCCAAATTTTCTTTGATAAAATACGAATTCCCTGGTAAACCTATGAATATTTTTCTTCCAATTTTTCAGAAAAGTTTGTTTGAATTTTGATCTAAAGTTCCTGAAAATTTCAAGGAAAAATATTTATAAAATCCCTCAATAATACACATTTTATTGAAAGAAATTTGGCAACTCTCGATTGCTCATACGGCGTTCTTCCTTAGCACGGCAGTGTAGCCTAGTAAACGAATGTAAAAATCAAACGTATCCATCCTCGGATGAACCCCAGATAAGGTATTTTAATGAAAATCGGCAATAAAAAGAAGCAAATAATTGGTATTTAATTGCCAGGGTGTTTACCAGTTATAAAATACCAAAATTGGGGACTTTCAGGGACTTTTAGGGGTGTTCTTTTTAAGAAAAGTGTTTTTTTTAATACATATATTTTATACAAATATCCTTTTTTTAAAAGCGGAAATCTTACGTAAGATTCGACTTGACCCCCCTCCCCCCTTCGTAAGGCTCCGTAAGAAAAGCTCGGACACCCCCCCTCCCCCCCCATAAGTGCCTTACGTAAGACTTGAATGGCCCCTTGGTTTTTGCTGAGTAGTCCAGCTCCTAGTTGTTCTGTAGCCTAGTAAACGAATGTTAAAACCGAACGTATCCGTCGTCGGATGAAACCTAGAATACATGAATTCTTAAGGACGCCAGGGTTCGCCAAACAGTCCTGATAGGTTCTAGCTGATTAGTCTAGCCTCCACTTGTTCTCCAGTTGAAAATGTCAGTGTCAAACCCGTCGTCTGATGAGCTCTAGAAAACTATACCTCTAATGATCCTGAAGGTTGGTGAAAAAATGGACTCTTTAGGTTTTATCACCACCGCCTCTTGTCCTCCGGACCGTTTGACCGAAATTAGAGAATTAATTGGGCGGCATTAAGCGGAATGAGCTTAACCACATCAGACATTGCCTAATTTCCTCTCGTGTTCTCGTTTTTCAAAAGAAAATTGAGCGAAGCTCTAACTTGAAATTTTTAACGTGTATTTTACCTACTCGAAGGAAAACTCTTAAAAAGACAGAGTTCATGCTGTTCAGTTTCATTTTGTTAGCTTTTCATCCCTTCAAGTGTTGGCTAAGTTTAAGTGTTGAGTGCAGTAAATTTTCCCATGCGTGAATAGATTCAATCGCCGAACTCTGTCCCTGTCTCCCTCGTGCGAAAACAACAACAAAAAACATGGTATAGACACAGGGAATTTTGGCCAAAAAACTCGTGTCACGGAAAATTATGACGTTTCATATATTCACCGTTGTTAACAGTTGTTGTGGACAAGTGAATACGCATGCTGACGTTTGTTAACATACCAATGACGTTTGTTGATTTTTGAATGATAGAAAAATATCTGATAGTACGGATCTGATAACCTAAATCATAAATGTCTTCCCTCCATGTATTTTTAGTGAGGATTTCTCCTTAGGTTTTGGTCTCATTTTCATGACGAGATTCGATTTTTATATGCCATTGAATTTCTGTTCAATGAAGAAAAATACTTTCACAATCTTTTGAAAGAGTTCACCAGTTTTCAATTTCTACTCTTCATATCCGTCGTTGACATGTGCTGATCGTTTTTGACCGTTGTTAATAATTTTTAATGGACTTCGGCATTTATTGACGTACTCTGACGCACTGTGGACGTTTGTTGGCACGTGTTTTCCTTTTTGACTGTTTTCCACCATTTTTAACGTCAGTTGGTGCACTGTTGACGTGTGTTGTCATCCGTCAGGAGTGTTGACCTTTGTTGACGTCAATTCTTGAAAGTCTAAAATTTTAATTTTTGACTGTCCTAACTGCCTATGTCATCTCTGAATTCTACCCCTTTTTTTTGTCATGCGCGAGCCCTGAAATAATTTGGATCCCGTCTCTCATTCTTAATCCATTCCCAACGGCATTCAAACGGAAAACTCAAAGAAATGAAGGAAAATCCTTCGATTTAGCAAAAATGAATTGAAACTCGTGATTATCTTCCAACTCCAAAGTTTACAGAATGGAGAATTTGCACGCAAATTTTTTATTGCTTCATCTACAAGTGCCTGAAGAGCTAATTTTGCAGTATTTTTCATAATTTTTTTCGGCTATGGGAAGTACCAAATAAATGGATCTAAAAGTGAGAAAATACGCCGCCCAGTGTCTGATGTCATCTGGCAGTATTTTCCATTTAAACGCATGTATTTTAGCAGATCAGATCATTTTGTCATATCTCCTTCAATTATTGTTCAATTTATGAGCCAGTGGTATCCTCGTGTTCAGCTCACTTGGTAGCGTATATTCAAACATGGAATTCATCAAATTTCAGAAACCTGCTAATTCTCTATTGATTTTCTTGGCGAAGAAAAACGTAGCTTCACCGGAACCTACTTTTTCGAAATGAAATCGTGTTGTTTCTTCTTTTTTTCCTTTTATTTCTTCATGAAAAACTGCTCACAAGCTACTAGCAACCGATTTGAACGTAGATTCAGCCTCTTGTTTTATCAAGACAGAGTCTCGGTCGGCCTATTAACATTGAATTTTACGAGCACGACACAGGTCACCGCGGTAGGTTACAACTCGCCCATTATTTAATCAGGGAACCGGCGTAACGCCAGGTCACCGCCCCCCTCCCCCTTTTGACTGCCTAATTTACGGAACCGTAAAAGCGAAGAGTTAATTGTCATTTAAGGGGGAGGAGTGTTATTTGTTTCCTCTAGCCTTTAAAATCGGACCTTTTTTTTTGAGGATTGTTTTAAATTAAAAGCTCATAAAAAATTTTCAAAGTTGAGACTTTAACGGTGAAGCTACCGTGTCAAGGAGGAACGCTGAACGGGTATTCACGAGATTCCAAATCCATTCTGATAAATACGAAATTTCTGGAAAATTTGTGACTTTTCCTCTTTCGATTTTCCACCCTATTTTCTTCGCACTTTTAGTAGGTGTAATATGCGTGACAATTTCAAGAAAAAGTATTAATGAATATCTACAATATAAATGTTTTATACGGGGGAAATTTGGTTGAAAATAGCCCGCGACTACATGAGTGACGTAACGGGCTCACAATATTTCTCGGGCGAGAGTAGCGAGAGCGCCTTCTACATTTTGTTCAGACAACACGCACATCCAATGGAGTGGCGTGAATGATCGACTATCGATATTTCCCCATTTGAATCCGTGGTGAAGAATCGATTATTAAGATGTTCGCCGCGAACACCCTGTTAATCGATTTATTTCCATAGGTTTAAATTACAGATCAATCGATTTATCTCAAAGCACGCCACGCCACTGAATTTCTAAGAAACGTTTTCCACGAACAGTTGCATCAAGGCGCTAGTAACATCCATGCGTCAATTCCGTCGGCCGAACACGCACTCAATCAATGTTATTATGCAGAAATATAGCTATAAGCAGGTTTGGATAGAGTTATTTTATCGACTTTATAGGTAGACTGCCCGCCTTTCGAATATCTTGCCAATTTAAAAATTAAGTAACAATGTGAAATTTCTCCCTAAACGATTGTTTCGACCATGTGTATAATATGTACGCTAATACACTGCGAAAAATATAACTGATTTCCAGTCAATATGATTCCCTCGTGATATCGGAAGTGAATCACAAATTTTCCCGAAGTTCGCGTTGATTTCAGTCTTACAATTCTGGATTCATCGGGAAACCTTAGCATCAACTCCGATGATGTCCGCGTTTCTTCGTGACCAACTTTCCGTATTATCAGAATTTCTTTGTTATTTTTTTTCCTTGCAGTGTCGAGAGCAGTCCTCGCTCCATCCCCTTTAAATTTTGCATTTTATTTTGTAATTCAGGATGTCTACAAGTCCGGAATTTCCGGAAAGTACGGAAATAGTACCGATTTTTAAGGGCGGTCCGGAAGTACTGAAAAAGTGCGGGATTCCGCAAGAAGGTCCGGAATTTTTTCATTTTTTTTGTCATTTTAGTCGCAATTTGAGCGGGCAATTCAAATTTTTGAAATTTGCCGAATTAGGTACATTTATTGGAGGTACTGAAATAGTACCTAATTTTTCTGTTGAGGAAGTAGGTACCGAATTTCTGGGGAATGTACTGAAAAAGTTCTGTAAAAGTACTGATTTTTGGTCAGCCTGTTTTAGTAGACACCCTGTATTTTCAAGAAAGTCGGCGTGAAAAATTTCCTGAAAAAAGTATTTCTTTGCGCAACTTACTCGAAGTATCAGAAAAAGGCCGGAACCTGCATTGTAAACTCCTTAAGAAATCAGGAACAGTATTCGAAACTCACCTTTGAGTTTTAGGAGCCATGTGGCGCATCAAGCCCGATTTTTAGGCGCCATTGAAGATTTTTTAGGGGCCAAATTGATTTTTTGCCTATATATTAGGGCGAATTAATTGAATAGTTAGACGCAAGATGTTTTCGTAACAGAACTAGTAAGTAGCTGTAACTTGGGGAAGACAAAAGCACAAATGATGAAATCGTGAAGAATAGAAAAAGCTTTCACTTGTGGTGCTGAAAATTTCGAATAAACACCTAATATGAAAATTCAGATTTTTAGGGGCCACGTTGGCGCAGAGCCTTCATGTTTTACGCGCCATGGCCGATTTTTTAGGCGCATTTGGCGCGTTGGCGCCTGTGAGTTTCGAACACTGATCAGAAACAATTGAGTACCAGTGAAATCCTAGTAATCTTCTTACCTTGCAATAACTACATTCTGGTTCGTCGGATCCTCTCCTTCCATTTCTCATTTTTTGGTTGTTCTATTTCTCTGAAGAACACGCTGTCAGTCTACTTTGTTAGAA